ATTGGGGCCTTGGATTGGGGCCCAGGGTGGCAGGGTGGCCAGCAGGGGTGGAGCCTGGCCTGTTGGGGCACACTGAGATGCCACTTAGGAGCACACAATCCGATTAGCATTTTAGAGATGTTCCTGCGGCCAGGCCATCGGGGGAGACCTGGTGGACTGGCCCGGAGAAGAGGTCGATGACCACACCATCCCTGCAGTGGCGCTGCCAGCCGCTGGATCCCTCTGCTGGCCACGACCCTATAGTTTGCTGCTCAATAAAGAGGCAGAGAGAGAGAGAGAGAGAGAGAGAGAGAGAGAGAGAGAGAGTGTGTGTGAGGGGCTTGCTCTACACTGAGATGGGGTCACCCTGGGAAGGCGCAGACTGAGGTGGGGGCTGCAGGTGAGGGAGGTCCAAAGGTTCTCCAGGTCCCAAGTCTGCAGCTCTGCAGACACGCGTGGCTCATGAGTCACCCAAGCCAAGCTCCCGCTCCTGCTGCCTCCGTGGGCCACAGACAGAGGCCGCTGTGAGGACAGACGCTGCTGTGTGCCTCCGCTTGATTCTGCCACTCGGAGGACCTGTGTGGTCCTTCTTCTCCTGCTCCTCCCCCAACAAGCATGTCTTCTTCAAAGACCAGGACATTTTGGTCATGGTGTCCCCAAAAATACACTAGACAAGAGAATAAGTTGGGAGGGGCCGGGGAGATGGCTCAGTAGAATAAGCACTTCCCCAGCAAGTACAAGGGCCTGAATGCCTGAATTCAATCCCCAGTTCCACACACACAAAAAAAAAAAAAAAAAAAAAGGAGGGCATAAGACTGTTTCACATTGTAAGCATATTTTGGTGCACAGGCTGTCATCCCAGCACTTGGGAGGCTGAGGCAGGAGAATCGCCATGAGTTCAAGGCCAGCTTGAACTATATAGTGGAAACCTGTCATTATTATTATTATTAAGGTGGAACCGGGGATTGAACTCAGGCCCCTGCACTTGCCAGGCAAGTGCTTATTCCACTGAGCCATCTTCCTGGCCCGAAAACCCGTCTTTAAAAAACAAAATTGAAACAAGTAAACAAGAAGTGTGGATGGTGTTTTCTTCTGAGGTATCCAGGGAGTTAAAAGCTGCTTTTGCTTGATGGCACAGTGGCTCTGCATGTGCCCGCAGTGGGCGACACAAGTAGCACAGCTCAGCGTCTCTGCCCGCAGGCCTGGACTGCCCCCCATGGCAGCAGCCGCCCGGGCCCTGCCCTGCCGCCCCTTGAGGCCTGCAGGCTTCTGAGCCTGAGGCCGGTCGGCACCAGAGCCCTTCACATGACGCCCCTGGGCCTGCCCTCCTCCGTGGGACCCACTTCTGGGCTGCAGCCCTCTCCACTAATGCCCAGCTCTAGCTCTGCCCCGGAGCTAGCCTGGCATCTGGCCTTCAAAGGCATCTTCAGGGAGATGCATCTTGAAGTTCTCTTTGGTGGCAAAAGTCAAGAATCCACAGTGGCCCACAGTGGCCCAAGCATGCACAGTGGCTGTCTCCTCTTCAGAGGGAACTGCTGAGCCCTGTCAGGGCCACCACAGTTGAGTTCTTGGTCCAGCCCTGTGTCCTAGGAGGGCGAAATGTACAGGGGCCGCGGCCCTGTGGAGGACATGGAGGGGAGCCCCAGCCCCAGCCCAGCCCCTGCCAGGGCCATCCTGGCACTTTTCCAGGCGGGGCTCCTGACTGAGGGGCTCCCTGAGGCCACAGGGTGGGTGGGGCTGGGGCCTGGGGGCGGTGTGTGCATCTAGGGGGCGGAGTCTGTGTCTAAGGGGTGGCCTGTTCCTCAAAGCAATCACTCTTCTCCCTGAAGGAGATTTTGCTGGTCAGTCTTGCTGAAGTGGAGGGGGTATCTCTAAGGTCCCAGGTTGTGTCCCCCACCCCCCAGCGAGGCTCTGTTCCCAAGAAGCCTGTTCAAGCTGAAAATTGTCAATGCTGCCGGTCTTCCTACATGGTGACACACTCTTTTCTGTGTTTGCCTCTGAATTTGTCTCCTTTCTTATTATTTGGTGCTAAGGTTTGACCTCAGTGCCTTTGCATTGAGCTACATTGCTGGTCCTTTTCATTTTGAACCAGGGTCTTGCTAATCTGCTAAATTTCCCAGGCTGGGCTTGAGCTTGGGATCCTCCTGCCTCTGTTTCCTAGAGTGCTGCATTTATAGTTCTGCACCACCACATCCAGCTCCCTCCTTAATTTTTTTCCTTGTGAAATGTGAGGCTCAGAAAGTGCACAATGGGAGCCAGGGAGAGAGATAGCTCAGGAGAATAAGCGCTTCCCTGGCAAGCACAAGGGCCCAAGTTTAATCCCCGGTTCCGAGGGGGAAAAAAAAAAGCACAATGCAAACAAATTGAACAAATCATTACAAATTAAGAAATAGGATGTCCCCACGTATCCACAGGCAGCTTTCCTGATGTTTCCTGATCCAACCCACTCCTGTGGGTTTCACACAAGTGTCTTCCCTTCCCGTTTTCCTGCAGGACTCTCTGCCCACGGCGCGCCCTGAACGGCTTCCTGCGCATGGCTTCGTCAAGACCCCACTCGGGAATCACGTATTCGGCATGTGTTCCCACTCCCCTCACTGCGCCTGCACCATCCTCTTCCTCATGCTGCGTGTGATAGTGCCCACCAGTCATCCCAGCACTTGGAAGGCGGGGACAGAAGGATAGCCAGGAGCTCAAGGCCAGCCTGGATTACAGAGTGGATTCCTGCCTGCATCACACAGTGAGACCCTGTCTGGTACAGAACCAAGGCAGATGCTAACACACCTTCAGCAGCCACCGTGCAAATGTGTGCGTGAGCACGCGCTGTGGGGTCACGCCCAGAGCGCCTCTTCTCGCCCGAGCCCGCTGGGTGCGCCTTCCCCTGCAGCGAGTGGCCTCAGGGTGGTCTCCCGCTGCCGAGAACTGGAATTACTTCAGGCTTTCACTGGTGGAGGGGCAGCAGCAGCAGCAGCAGCAGCTCGACCTGTCTCCGACCTCACAGCGGGACGGTGCCTACCTGGCATCTGAACAAGCAACTGTGCAGGGTCGGGTCAGCGCCACTTCTCAAGAGATGCCCAGCCTGGCCACCCCATCTCAGGTGGCACGACCTGGCCACCCACCTTCCTGACTGCCATCTGAGCAATTGTGACCATCTGAAGTGCCCTTTTTCAGGGTTGATTTCTCTATGATAACACACTAGAATATAAATTCCAGGATTTGGGATACTGTCTATGGGGTGTGGTGAAAATACGGTGTGACTACAGACCGGGAGAGAGCTGCCAAGAGCCTGCCTGCCAAGCGCAAAGACCCTGGTTCAGCACCTGGTACCGCACACCGTGCCAGCCCCACTTTGGGTGCGATGTGCCAGCCACTGAAACTGGGCATGGTGACACATGTCTGTAATCCCAGCTCTGGGGAAACTCAAACAGGAAGCTCACTACAAGTTGGAGCTAAGTAGTGAGACCCTTTACTAAATTAAAAAAAAAAAAATGGTGTGACTAAATAAAAGAACACACAGGCTAAACACTTGCTTAGGCCAGTGCAGGGACCAGGGATCAATCACCAGCACCACAGGCCACGTAGTCCCGCCCCTGGGTGTGCTGAGCCGGCCACCAAGCCCCGCTGTGGGTGGTGCACACCTGTAATCCCAGAGCTGGGGAGGCTGAAAACAGGAAGATCACTATGAGTTCAAGTGCATAGAAAGACCCTGTACCATCCGGGACTCATGGCTTTTTGTTTTGGAACTGGGGATTCAACCCGGGACCTTATGCTTGCCAGGAAAGAATTCAAGCCACTAAGCGGTCTCCCCTCTGTCAAATAATTTAAGACCCTGTACCAAATACATACATAAAAAATAAAAATAAACACACACACACAAACTAACCCCACTGCTCCCATCACTTTCTGGAGCAGCTCTGGAGTTCTCTTTCATGAGTGTCTTTGGTTGTGACTGCCTTATGTCCTAAGGAATTCAGAATGTTTCCTCTCATGGTCATTTCCAGAAGCCTCATGGTACCAGACCCTGACAGCAACACAGATGAAGACCTGTCATGTCTTTAAGTGCCTGCCTTTTTCTTTTTGGAAGGGCAGCCACTCTCACTGTATTTCTGATCCCATCTCACGGAAGAGAACCTATAGAAATGCCTCAGAAAGTGGCCAGACATGGGCTGGTGAGATGGCTCAGTGGTCTAAAGCACCTACTTAGAACAAGTCTCGGCAAAGCACAGGGACCACAGTTCAATCCTCCAGCACCACATGCCAGCCAGCCCCGCCCCCTGGTGGGCTGAGCTGGCTACACACACACACAAATAAAAATAAAAAAATTAAAAAAAAAAAAGAAAGTGGCCAGACAACAGGTGTATTCAAAGGAGGGTGTCAAGTTTAAGGTTTTGTGCTTATGTGTCTTTCACTGTCACCCACTGCTCTCTGAGGGTGTCCAGGCCATGGGTCGCGAGCAAGGCCTCAGGTGGACCTGGTCAGTTCCCCCTCACCTTTCTGGCCTCAGATTTCAGATATAAAATGTTGAAAGGGGTGGGGCTTCTTCCTCCCGAGGTCTCTAGGGAGACAGTTGGCTTCCAAGGGGTGTCCTGCAGGACTGATGACTCTAAGGGCCAGTCTGATTTTTAGGGACCATGTCCATCTACTGGGCGTGGACCTTGTACTTAAGGGACAGAACTGTACCATTTAGATGAGACCTAAAAAACTCAAAGCGTTGCCTGAACCTCAGACCTTAAGGGCTGGGCGTGGTGGCAAACACCTGCAATCCCAGTCATTCAGGCTGTCACACTGGACGTCAGATACCAGCCTGGACAACTCAGTGAGATCCCGGCTCAGAACCCAGCGCCGGGGAGGTGGCTCGGTACAGTACCTGCCAGGCACATGTGCAGACCCAGGTTCGGCCTCCAGCACACAGTAAAACAAACTTATCTAAAGGAAGCCAGGAGCTGTATCTAATTTAGAAACCTAACTTGGGGAGTGATGCCTATCCCCAGCCCCTGACCCCGGGTCAAACCACGAGACGGTAGTGACTGACAGGACGAGGTTTATTGGGGCCCTGAAGACACTGGGCAGGGGAAGAGGGGGCAAGGCGGAGGCTCAGGCTGGGGGAAACCGCAGCCAACATCCCCTTCCCTCTGGGGTGGAGGGACGTAGACAGACACACTGACGGAGACAGAAAGGCCGCCAGGTGCTCCGGCAGAGGAGGGAAACCCGTGTCCACCACCTGCCCCTGGACGAGGTCACTGGACGGGGTCTGCCTGGCCTGAACCGCACTCTTACGGGATTCGGGGACGTCTCTCCTACCGGAGCTAGGGCAGCACCAGCTGACCTGCCCACGCATGATGGGGCGTGGCCTGCTTCAGTCCATCCTATTGGGCGGGGTGCTACACCAGTCTACTCTAGTGTTCAGGGGAGGGCGATCCTTAGGGCCAATCCATTCCGCAGAGGGTGGGTCACTGAAGGCGGGGTGTCTACCCTGGTCCTCTTTCGGCAAGGGGAATGCAACGGGGAAAGGCAGATTACGGCTATATTCATCTTCTGGGGCCACCATGCACTGGTGGGGTACATTTGGAGATTTGGGCAGAATCGGGGACACGGTCCCTGCAATCCCTAGAACCAGGCTGCGGAGAGGGCCCTGGAGGGTGCCCCACATTAGTGCTAGGGGAAAAGTACTCCTGGAGACCCACATTCTTCCTTCCTCTGTCCCCACGTGTCAGAGGCCTGTGTACTGGGGCGCCATCCCACCGCCGGCCAGGGAGGTTTGCGTGCTGGTCTCCTGGCCCAGGGCTGTGTGTCCCCGTGCGAGGCGCGGCTCAGTCCATGCCCCGGTGCAGCTTCAGGTGCCGGGAGAGGTTGCTGAGCGTGATGAAGCCCTTGCCACACACGTGGCAGGGGAAGGGCCGCTCGGGGCCGTGCAGCAGGCGGTGGCGCTTGAGGTAGCACTCGTGGCGGAAGAACTTGCCGCACTCGAGGCAGGGGAAGGGCTTCTCGCCGGTGTGCACCAGCACATGCCGCTCCAAGTCGCGAGGTGAGCGGAACAGCTTCTCACACTCGGAGCAGCCAAAAATCTTCTTGCTGCGGGCCGGCGCCGGGGGGCGCTCCCCGGGCGCGCGTTCCCCCTCGCGCCCCGCCGCGCCCACCTCCTCCCCGCCACCCTCACCCTGGCCCTGGCCCTGGCCGTGGCTGGCTCGCCGGTGCTCTTCCAGGGCAGCCAGGGCCGCATAGAGCGCCCCGCAGTGGCCACAGCCGAAGGTGGCCGGGCCGGAGTGCGCCTCCAGGTGGCTGGCCAGCGCCGCGGCGGACGCAAAGAAGGTCCCGCAGTCGCACTGGTACAGCGTGTCCTCCGCAGGCTCGGCGGCCCCGGGGGCCTCCCCGACGCCCTCGGAGAGCAGCGCCCCTAGGTCAGGCACGCCACCCTCTGCAGGGCGTAGGAGCAGCGCACCATCCCAGGCTTGGGGAGCTCCGCCTGACTCGGCCTCCGCAGCCACGCCTGACCCTGGGGCCCAGGCCTGCATGGGCAATGCTGCCAAGCCCTGCAGGTCGTGCGTGAGCTTGTGGCGCTCCAGCAGCGCGGGCGCATTGAAGTCGCGCTCGCAGCGTGGGCACTTGAAGGGCTTCACGTCGGTGTGCGCTGCCCAATGAGCCGCCAGCTCGCGGCCGTGGTCAAAGCGCCGAGCACACGCACCGCACGCGAAGGGTGGCAGTGAAGAGGTGGCAGCTGCGGCATCAGCCAGGCCCCAGCCGCCCGTGCCTGCACCCGCACCCTCCAGGCCCTCTGTGCTCCCCGCAGCCCCAGCACACACGGTGCAAGGCCCCGAGCTGCAGCAGGCCGAGCAGGGCGTGCCCAGTGACGGCAGCCCGGGGGTCGGGGGCAGCGGTGGCGGCAGCGAACCGCGGTGCTGCCGCTTGAGGTGGCGGCCCAGGCTGGAGCGGGAGGAGAAGCGTAGCTCGCACACAAGGCAGCAGTAGGGCTTCTCACCTGTGTGCACAACCTGGAAGGAAGAGGACACTGGAGCACGTGCCAGCCGGCCACCACCACCCCACCCCACTCCACTCCACTCCGCGGACGGTGTGCTGCAGTCAGGACTCCTCCTGCAAGTGGCTCAGGCTGGCTGGCACCCTGCCCGTGCCCCACGGGCCTCGTGCTTTCCACCTCGGGGCCCCGTCCCTCTCCCGGTACTGGAATTGAACGCAGGGTGCTCTCTGAGCTCCATCTCCAGCTCTAGTCCGTCAGTCTATCACCTACTCGAGACAGGGACTTGCTAGGCCACTGGCTGGCCCAGGCTGGGCTCAACCTTCCAATCCTCCTTGGCCTCCCATTCCCTCAAGCACAGGGTGTGGCAAGGGTCAAGGTGCTCCGGTGCAAGTCCTCTAAGTGGTGTCAGTGAAGGTCACAGACACTGCATGGGCGGAACAGACAGGAGGTGCTGTGTGTTGGCAGCGTGACACCCAGCCGGCAGCCAGATCCTGCCGCCTGGGGGGCCTCCCACAGAGGCCCAGTCACCTGGCTCCCAGAACACACCTAGCTCTTCCCACCCCCAGCCGGGCACTGGTTGCTCTCTGCTGTCTGTACAATCTTCCACGCGGACTCCCTCTCCTCCTCCTGGTCTGGGGTCAGCAGTCTTGTCTGAAATCTCGTCCATGTATCATCTACCTCGCTCCTACAATCTCCAAAGGGATGCAAATTCTCTGAAGCCCAGGGCTGTTCTATAGGAGATAAACCCCTTTTCAGCAGGGTAAGGCAGACCCCAAAGCAGCAGCTGCAGGTGCAGTGTGCCCAGGCCCATCAGCAAGGGGTGGGGGGCGCTCACTGCACCTGCCTGCCTGCCTGCCTGCCTGCCGGGCCATGGAGTCCGAGGCCCTGGAGACGGGAACCCTGGACGGTCAGGACTCACCTGGTGGTGCAGCAGGCCTGTGGAGTCACGGAAGCCCTTGGGGCAGGCAGAGCAGCGGTAGGGCCGCTCGCCTGTGTGCGAGCGCAGGTGGTTGGCCAGGTTGAAACTATGCTTGAAGCCCTTGCCACAGCGTGGACATGCATGGGGCTTGAGGGCCGTGTGGCGGGCAAAATGGCGCCGCAGGTCTGAGCGGTATCGGAAGCTCTTGCCGCACTCACTGCAGTGAAAGGGCACCCGGGGGGCAGCAGCAGCGGGTGGTGCTGGCACCGGGGATGGCGCAGGTGCAGAGGGCGTGGGCAGCAGGGCGTCGTCCATGGTGCACACTGCAGGGGCGGGCAGGCTCTTTCTGGAGGAAACACAGGAGCGGGTGAGGAGTGGTCATAGACCTCCCGCTGCTGAGCTTGGCCCAGGGTCCCAAGCCACACTGAGGCTTTAAACTCCTTTGTGCACTGGAGATTGGTTTTGGGGTGCTTTGCCACTGAGATACTTCTTCAGCTTTCTATTTTATTTTGATGCATGGCCTTATTACAATTACCCAGTCTGGCCTTGAATTCGTGATCCTCCTGCCTCAGCCTCCCCAGGAGCTGGTCTAGGCCCGGGCCAAACTCCTCCCTCTCACTCACCTGCAAGCCTTTCTGCCTCGCCGGCTCCTCCCTGAGCCCTGCCAGCGGGAGCCTAAGCCCCTCCCTCCGCTGCAGGAGCACCCCTGCCGCACTGGCGCGGTGCGCCCTCCCCTCCAAGTCATCCCTGCTGGTCTTTGCAAATGACTCCTTCAGTAGGGGAGGACAGACATCTGACTAGGCATAGGCATACTGGCGCCACGCGTCCAGGCCCACAACCAGGTAAGTCAGGAGCGGCGATGGCTCCCGCCCCGAGAGCTGACCCCGGGGGTTCAGTATCATTACCGACCTTCAGGGTCCACTCAGCCTCTTCCTCCACCCCACACGCTTTCCAGGCTGTGCGAATTCGGTCATTGCACGAGTCCCTGCACTCCATTCCAGCCGCTTCCTGCCCTTTTACACAACGGCTTCACTACAACTCTCCATTACCCACTTAGCCAGTCCCCAGAATGCCCTCACGACGCTTATTCACACCCCAAACTTCGCCTCTTCTGCTCTAGTCTCCCCAAGTCTCAACGTAGGTCCCCTCTACTTTACAACCTAGGCCCCCCCCACGCCACTTAGCCACGCCCACTCTCAAAGCCCCACCCCTTCAACAAGCCCCTCCTACTTTCCCCTCAGCACCGCTCCTCCGCCCACCGGCCCGCGTGCAGCGCCCCGCCCCGCTCGGGCCCCGCCCCCTCCTGCACCAGGCCCCCCGCGGAGCCCCCCGGCCCGCGCGAGGACCCAGGCCCCAAGACAGCCTTTTGTGCCCCTCCCCCTTCTGTAAAAGTGTAGCCCCGGGTCTCCCAGGCAGGGGCGGCTCAGGAGGGCTGGGGGCGGGCGAGTCTGCTTCCCCAGTGCGGAGCAGAGGGCTTGGAGACCTAATGCAGCTCGAGAGGCCGGGAAAGTCAGTCGGCTTTCCTCTTTAATTACTTACACCTCCCTCTGGGCGCCGACATTTTGGGCAGCGGGGGCAGCGTCACTTCCACCCGGGAGGCCCCTGGACTTCCGCCTCTGCTCACTGCCCCGCCCCCTGCCCTCTTAGCTCCTCCTTTCCACCCCTCCCTTCTCCCTTTTTCCCTTCGCTTTCCCAGCCCTGGAGGTGAGAGAAGCCAGGTTGGCGCCATTTTGGGTGAGGGCAGGGGGCGGTGCTTAGGGTCATCTTGGCACCTTGCAAACTAAGGGCGTCGAGCTGTCCCGCGATGTTGGCCAGCTGTGGTTCCTTTTTCTAAGCTTTACACTCTTCTTCGGTAGGATGTCGAACTGCCTCTGGAAGAAAGCGAGTAATCAAAGTGTACGAACTGCAGTTCAGGGACTGAAAAGGCACCATCTTATACAGTTAGCGCCCCGGGGACTTTGAAGCTACCGGGCGCCATGTCAGTTACGGGAACTGAGCAGCCATTTCCCGTTTCTCTTCTAGTCTGTATCTGTGTGTGATTGCGTCTCTCGGTCGGATGCTTTGTGGAAGAAAGGGGATTTCCAAGTGGTTAGGGGTACGGTGGTGGGCTAGTTCCCCCTAGGAGCAAACAAGGGAAACTCGTGCGCAGGCGCTTGGGCCTGCACGGACGCCACCGGTCCCTAGGACCCAGCACGTCTCCTTTGTTCCCTGCAGGCGGCGGGGGCGGGGCCCCAGTTTCCGCTCCAAGGGGCGGGGCCGAGCTCGCGCG